CGTTTATCAACGGTCAGTTACGATTTCTGAGTTCGCAGCCAAACGCCGGAAGAGATGTTTGTCTCCAGCTGGATCCTGAAGGTAGAGGATACGAGTCGGGTGCTTCTGTGAGCGCCTGTTTAACTCTGAGTCTAATTTACAGACATACGCTTAAGAAGCTTGATCCTAACTCCAACCAAACTAGTCTAATCTTGAGACCGATTCTTGTCTACGTGGGTGGCGATTCCATGCTCTTCAACCGTCCTCGGCTCATCTCGGCCCGAATGGCAGCAAAAATGGACTTCGTTTATGTGACTATACGCTACCGCCTTGGCGTATTCGGATTTTCAGACTATCAGATGGATGAGGCTGGACCGAATCATGCGGTGGAGGATGTGAAAAGGGCCTTGAATTGGGTGTACGAGAACGCGGCACTCTTTGGTGGAGACGCGCGTCAAATTACCCTCTTTGGCGAGAATTCTGGCGCCACCATTGCCGCCCTTCTGATGAATGCCCAGTTGGAGACCTTTGAGACAACCAATACATCGTAGGTGATATTTTTGCCTCTTCCAGGGTAACTGTGCTAACACAATTTTTTTCTTTCGGCTCTTAGACTAACTCTCACTTGAAACGGTCCCGAGCACACGCAAATCTAGCAGCAAAACTTATGTCCTTAAATCTCATCTTACATCCCTCTTCTGAGAATGACTGAAGAACAGCCATTAGGTGCGAATTAGTACATGTTTATTCAGTTTTCTCGTGAGGTTAGCTTGCTAACTTTATGGATATAGGAACAAATAGACTTCGGCATATAGTGGCTCTCCCTACAAAGCTGCAGCCTTAAATGTAGGAGTTCTCTCAGAAGGTAAGTGTTGTATGACACACCACAGACTGTAGGGGGACAAAACTCCCCTTTTGAATAGGCAGGCCGTTACAAGCTTTTGGCTTAATGTGATAGCTGGAACGTCTGAATTGCAGGTTTCTCGATGGTGAATTGTGCTGCCTACTCTGAGTGGACGACCAAAGAGCTAAACTCAGCAGCATGTTGACGGTGAAAATAATGAAGGTAGGACCTTCAGGAAACTTCTGCAAATGCTTCACGGCCAGGTAGGTGGTAAGCGGTTGATGACAAAGTGCGCTGAAGAATGGTTCAGCCAGTGAGAGTTTTTGTGGAGAAGAGCGAAGGTTGGGTTAAACTAATAGGATGTCACTGGATAATCCCATCAACAATTAGTGATGAAGGCCTAAGCATCCACTTGACTCGAGCTTAGGAGGCAAGATGTGTAAACAAGGGAGCTCCAGTGAGAGGAACCCTGAGTGCCCCAAACGCAGTCAGTACCTCATCGTTAAGATCGTGGGGAACATTTGCGACCGAAAGGCATTTTAGGGAGCAGCAATATGAGTCAATTACAGTTTGACAGGAATCGACGTTCGGTGGAGGGCGACGATCTTGTGAATGAACGGAATTTATGAGAGTCGGTTTGTCGAAACCTCACTATCATATAGCGGCGAAAAAGTAGCCGGCCTAAAGGAAATGAATAACCCCTAGGTCACAGCCCTGACTGTCCTTACTAGTGTGATTTCTCGGCTTCCGAACTCTTCTTCCCATACTTTTGACCACTGCGTTTCTCTTTTTTTCATAATCACGTTATTAGTTATGTCCGCTTGAACATTTGACCATTTATATATCCCAAAATCATGGTCATATGCCTATTTTCAAATCTGCCTCCTTAGCCGTTGAGTTTTAATAATAGTATTTAACATGCTTACTTAAATACAGGTAGTAGGGACTACATTACTGATGGTTTGCCAACACAACCATTGCATTAGACACTTCGCATGGCGTTGGACGATGATAAACGTCTCGAAATTTCGAATACATGGGGGGAGGGCTAAAATGCCGAGAGCTGAGTAATGGCTGTCAGCAGCATCGGCGAAGAATTGCGAGAAACAAGCTACATACTAGACTTCAAATGACTATTACCAGGTATTATTTTAGCCACTCTCATTTGTTAGCAACCGAATAAATATATTCCCATCTTATCAGATAAAAACCAATACATTGGACTAAAATTGGTGCTGGCCAAATTGCCATCACTTTATAAACTATGACAAACCGTTTTATTTTCATGGTCCTGTCTACGTTAGTTGACAAATAACGAGTGTCTTAAACCCACTGGCTGAATACTAACCATTAGTGTGAGCCTTTATTATAACACTCTTCAAAAGAATTCTGTAAATACCCAAACACCAAAAAGTATGCAGCTGCAACCTAAGTCTTGCGATTCAGGAAAATCCATTGGACGACACACAGCTTGACAAGGTGAAAAGGCATTTCGCATTATAAGGTGCCAATACAGTGTTCTTGTGTTATAATTAGCATGCCAATGGTTAGAACAACTGAAAAGTCAAGTATTTCTCCCTCACCTCCCTCAGATACTGATTGCGCTTTCATTATTTCTATTCATTTGCATATGAATTATTCCTGCGAACAATCCACATTACCTCTCACTTGCTTTTAACCAGTCTGATAAAAAACACACAGGGGATTTTGTAGTAAAACAGTATTCTAGACTTAGAACGAAAACAACATCCAGCATTATTGATGAGCATCTTAGACCTTAAGCTTGCAATTAAAATTAAATACGGAACTTTATTTATATAGTCAAAGAATTAATTTATATGCACAATTAGAAGTTTCGACGGGAACTGGCCGTTTCTGGATTACCGGTGGCCGCTTCTTAAATCCGCAATTGTCCGATTTTATAAAAACTAGATGACCTCAACCTAATCACATAAAAGGCGTTGAGACCTTTTAAATTGGAGAGACACAGTATTTAATTTGGAGACCTACATGCGAAAGCAGAAAATGGTTAGGTTTGAACTAACATAAGAAGTAATGACCGATTCAAAATCAAAGGGTACTGCTTCTTCAGACAGAAGAGTTACCGAAAAAAGTTTTCGAAAACGAGTATATGAAGGAATCTTTCTATGCGTGCATTCTAAAAACCGTGATTCAAGTCAAAATGCATCAAAACTCACTGGACACTATCACATTACATGCTGGCATTTTTGGTGGTTACTTTTTATATAGTTGAATGGATGTATGCCTAGACAAATATCAGCACCTCAACAGTTAACACGAAACCAGATCTTAACCGTTCACATAATTTTGAGCTTAACCCAACTCTGCTCTTAAACGCAATCTTATACCTAACTTGAAATCCAACTCTAGTCTTCACTTCCATCTTAAGCCTAATTTTTCCAGAACAAATTCCGAATAACGCTACATGTTTTGTAGGCGGATTCTGTTCCCGTGTCCTCAATATGTGACCAAACCAGTTATTCTAACCTGCGTCGTTCACGATGTATTTTTCCGTTCATTCCCTGCATGTTACGTCAAAGTTGCATTAAGATGCATTTTACTAGCATTGTCATATTAACTGGATTACGTCTTGGCGATTCGCGTTTCCACCTAGACAACCATATCTGTTCTCCCGTCTCTGGCTGTCGGATGGTGGACTGGTTGCCCCGCCTAAATCCTCCGATTTGAACCCTTTCCAGAAACTCCTTCTCTCGGATCTGGAACTAACCGAGGCTTGCTTTAAGAAACGTCGTGAGGGCAGAATAGTCGAGAGAACAAACGGGTCCTCTAGTTCCATCAGCGGCAAGGTTGCATGTCTTGAAGGCGCCATTCCCGATACGAAGTGGCTAAAAAAGACCCC